TGCGGAACTTCTGCAAATCTGGCTTTTCTGCGGAAGTTCCGGTGAATTGCCTGAGAATGCAATCTAATTTTCGAAAAAGCTGGTGGCACAACTCAATGGTCTTACTTGTTGATGAAGACTTCGAGTCCTTTCCTGCGATTTTCAATGAAATCTTCTTCGAAAATGCCATCATCGGAGCGGAATGGAAGTTGCCTTTTCAAAGACTTCGAAGGCAATGGCGGAACAACGATCTTAAATTGTAAATCTGTGATTACGGATCATACACAAAGACGCTATTTTTTACTGTTGTTTTTCAAATGAATTTGGATGTATTTCAAACAGGTCACGTCAGGAAACAAAGAATCAAGGATCAGTTTCTGATATGCACTTTCTATGCAACTTCACGTACTGTCATAAAGGATACGATTTGTTAGACAGTGTATAAACATTGCGATTGATTTCATAGTGCAAGTGTATAGGATGACTCAAATTACTGCGATCACATGAACACGTCATCAAACGCTATTATACAAATAAAAAGCGGTGTAAAATATGCTCGAACAGTGAGCCAAATCAAACAATTTTGTACACCGCATGCGGTGCGTAAATGTACCAATTAGGGAACTATGTTGAATCTTACCTTGCTGTCTCTCTCTAGCTCACCACGAAGCCAGTCAAAATCACTGTATCGACGTCGCACACTTGACTCCTTTTGTTTGAAAACTGGCAAATTGGACTGGAATAGAAAGTCTCAGAACGGGTACGTGAAAAATCTAGCTCTAGTGAGACCCATGGACTTAAAGGCAGCGTCCAGGCAAAAACTCGATTTTGAGATTTCCTGCCTACCCGGCCCTATTCATTATGCTGAATCCGAAAATCACAGTAGAGAGCGCGAAAAGCGCGAAAAAGGACTCTGATGCAGGAGGGAAATCGCAGATGGGTGGGGCCGTCACACTGTATCGTCACTCATCCAACTTCAGGGGTGATCTTCTCGTTTCCGCTAGCCGCTCCAACGTCGTCACCGGCCAGCTGCGAAACGCGTGACATAAAATCAGAACCGAGAAGATCA